GCGCGTTCGCCGGGCCCTTTGTGTCCGCCCTGCGCCTGCGCAGCCCCGGGCCGCTCCGCGGGGCGCGCCGGGAAGTGCAGTCCGTGGGGAGAGCGGCGGCGCTACTGCCCCCTGTCGGCCGGAGGTGCGCACCCCGTCCCAGGCGCGTCCGTGACACCGAAATGTTTTCTTTCTTTATATCGGCACGTAAAATTGACTGCGTTTTGTGAGAGGGCTTTGTTTCGGCCTCGTCCTCTCCTCCTAGGAATTCTGTGCGTCACCCGGAAACTAAAGTACCATTAGGCTGCTTCCGTTCGAAGAAAAGGCGTTTGAAGGTCGCGTCCTTTGCGGGCACAGCGAGGCGTGCAGAAGAGGAAACTAAGGGAGTGGGGCTTCGGAGTTAGAGTGAGAGCGTATTTCTATGCATTCTGTAGCGTATGTCTAAATATTATAGTGGCTATCATGTTTTTTACCAGCCGTGGAAAATGATTTGCCTGCTAGATGACTGCAAAAGTGAAATTTGGTAAATAATTATTAGAAATCTTATCCTAACACTATGATTGAAACAATAGACAAAAGTATAGCCAAGCAATTAACTAGTAGAGGTAGTTACTCATAAGTTTTGCAGTTCTTTGCTCTTATGACTAGATGTTCCCGTACGCTTGATGAGAACAATGTTGAGACTGACCACATGTGATTGAAGCTGCGTTAAGCTTCAAGATCAAAGAACAAGGACAAGAATAAAGACTTCAAGGACAGCAGCAAGAACTTCAAATGGGTTGGTAGTCGCAAAAGCAGCCCTTCGACTCAAATGCATCCTTCATTGCGCATGATCGGATGTAGGCAGTACTAAGATAATCAGTTCCAATTATTTCTATGTATATGTATCCTAATCTGATTAATATGCAATTAGTTATTCTATATAACCTGTTAGTGCTAAAGCTGTGGTATGCACGCTAGGTGGAATTATCCCCTGTGCATCCAGCGCTGCAATAAAGAATGCCTGCTTTCTAAAACTCCAAAATGAGTCTTAGAGAGTTTCTTTGACCAGCTTTTCGGTATCAACAGCACCTGCACCTGCATTACCAGTAAAAGCCAGACATCGCGTTCATGATGCTGTACAAAAGGAACAGGAGAGGCGTGCTGGTTGAAAAGGCTGTTGAGTAGGTTCCAGGCTAGCAAGTCCTTAATCAGGTACAGCACTCTGATAATGCTTTTTTAAGCAAAGACTAGTAATTCTGATGTCAGTACCTGAGTTTGCGAGGTTTAAGGCAGCCATCACTCAGAGGATATCACTCTTTTAGTTCGTCTCTCCACAACTACACAGGAGAGGGCTCATACAACAGTATGTTCTCAGCGGTTTGCAGTATCCCAGTAGCTCAGGGCGCTCCTTAGTAGCAGAGGATGACCGCAAGGTCACGCCCAGCCGGGATCTCCTCACAGTGACGCCCACCACCCGTTTTACACTTGCAGAGGTCTCACAGCCCACTCTACCCTCACTGAGGGTCCTGTGCCGGGCGTCAGGCCAGCGACGGGACTCCGCAAGGCCGCCCGCCTCCCTCCCTCTCCGCGGTGCGATTCAGCACGAGCCGTCCCGACCCTCGCCGGCGGCCGCCCCTCCCTGCGAGCCCCCTTTCTCTTCCCCGGGAGGCCTTTAAGAGGCGGGCCGGGCAGCGCCGCCATCTTGTGGGAGGGCGGTCGGTGGCGCATGCGCGGTGAGGCGCGGAGCTGCGCGTGTCCTCTACGGCGTCGGAGCGGGAGCGATGGGGCCGGGGCAGAACTCCGCCGTGCGGGGTAGGGGCTCGACGGAGGCGGGAGGGTGAGGAAGGGCGCGCTGCGGGCAGGAGCGGGGGGCCGCTTGCACCCCCCCATAGTGGCGGGGAGGATGGGAGGGGCGGCGGCGGCGGCAGCGGAGGGGGCGCAGCCCCACCCCGCGCTCCGCGCTCCTCTGGACCCCCGGAGACAAAATGGCGGCGTAGCCGCCCCCTGCGGGGACGCGGGCGCCCCGTTAGATACGGACATAAATAAATTCCTCCTCCGTAGCCTGTTAGGGAGGGCGAGGGTCGGCGGCCCGTCCCGAGGGACGCACCCCACCCCACCTCGGCCCCGTGTGAGCTCCGCGCCGGGCCCTTGGGTGCGTTTCGGCCCTCGGAGCCGGCTCCGGCCACACGCGGGGTTTTATTTGCGGTGGGAGCCGGCCCGTTTCAGGCACCGCTGTTTTGATTGTGCTTTCCCCCCTGGCGCTTCTCTGTCGGGCTTTGCCTTTGTTCCGGCCCCGTATTTTATGCGAAGCCGCCGGGTATAAATTTCATGAAAACGTGTAAATTTCTGGGTTTTTAAACTTGCCCTCAGAGCTCAATACTCTACAATAGAGGTGACAGTGATACTTGTGCTGTGTAATGATTGACCTAAACCATGCCTGAAGTAGCGGTTTTTGTTTTAAATGCTGTTGGGCAACCGGGCAGGAGGAGAGGGAGGACAGAGTGGAAGGCTGAGTTACCTGATTTCCTCTAAAAAATAAGCTTCATCTCCATGGCTGTGGTTTCCAGCTGCAAAGCTGCTCATGGTTTATGCCCTTAAGTCAGGGGACTCTATCCAGATGGATTTTTTTTAAGTACACTGCTGGTACAGAGGATGTTGGCAAAGGCATCACTGTAGTCTAAAATGGGTTATAGTGATGGAAGGCCATGCTTATTAAAATAATCAAACCAAAGCCCTAAGGATGACTTGGTAATAGCTTGCAGCCAGGTTGCATTCCCAACGGCAGCTTACTGTCACTTACAAGCTTGCAAGAATTAGAACAGCTCCTATACACTAGGAACTGAGAAGAAAACTTAGTTTGTGGGGGAAGGAAAATAGCATTATCCTAATCAAACTGAAAATATCCTCTTTATTCCAGGAAAGCAGGGGAACAGCTGATCAGAGCAGTCTGGAGGGTGCTTTGTTTAGGAGGCAGCAGCAGCATATGGTTAATGTGATTTCTGTCAAGATTAAACTCGATCAGCACCTGGCGACTGGCAGGTCACAGCTCTTTCTTCAGCTTGCATGTGTCTCAGGCTGATGAATTTTGGAAGTCATACTAATGCCTGTTTCCCCAGAGAAAACTAGCCACCAGAAACTTCCTGTATTTTTGTGGGATTTAATTCCTGGCAGTAATTGGAGAGTAATTGCTTCTGGCTATATTGGTGTGCATATGTGCTGCAAGGTTACCCTTTGGAAGGCAGTGAATAGCACAGCTAGTGCTTTTTGTTGTAATGTGGTTGTTTTCAGGTGTGAACGACCCCACACTAACCACAGATCTGATCATGGTAACTTGCCTTTTGCTGCTTATTGGCCAGATCCAACAACCTTTCTCCCTCAGATGGCCTCTTTACCTTATGGTTTCAGTTCAATTAAGCCTGTCAGTCATAATCCCATTTCTTGTGGATGCTGTGAAGTGGTAGAAGTGACTTTATCTGCTTGACTGGTGGGCTTTTACTATTAGGCTTTCAGTGCAGTTGGTTATCGTGGATGACTCCTCAGTAAGTGAGTCTCACACATTTCTCCAAGCAGGCCTGCAGAAAGGTGGTGTTTTGTTGTGGACAGTTACACTACTGGACTGTCATAAACAACTCTTGGACAATAGTAGCCTCTTCATTGGCAACAAAGGAGGAGAACAATGCTTGAAAGTTAGAAGGACTTCTGAAAACAAAAATATATGGATTTTGATGTCTGGAGTTCTGTAGCTGACTTTCAAGTAACATGAACATCTTTAAGCAGCAGAGGTAACTTGAAAATTGCCTCTTAGGACTGTCTAGGACTAACTTTGTAGGGGTGCAGCTATCCCCCCTTGTTGTTGCCAGTTCCTAGAAAGTAAATTGATACGTGTCATAACAAGGATTGTGTACTCCTGGTGGAGCCAAGACCATCTCAGTTTCTTCATGTGCTTGTCAGTGCAGATGGTAAATGCATGTTCTTCCTGCAGATAAAATCTGGCTGACCTCTCTGGTAGATCCTAAAAGTACCTCTGTAGCCTAGATGTGGAAACATCCAGAGTAATATTCTAGCTGTTTAGAGAGAGAAGAGAGGAGAAATTTTGTGATCCAAATCTCTTGTTCATTAGGATATGTCCAAAGAATATAGAAGAAAATAAATTCCCACCATTGGCTTGTTGCTGTACTCATCATCTGAGGTTTTTTTTGTTTACTTCTGTGCACTACCTGCTCTCCTGGGATTGCATTCTTTGGACTTCTGTTTTCTTCTTTACATCTCTCTTCCCTTCCCTCCTTTGTGTGTTAGTCTTCTGGAGTTTTAGCCAAACCGTTTCCATTGTTTAGTGCTTACAACATTGAAACAATTTTTCTGCTGGGTTACACAGGCCTGTAGTGTCTCGTCCTGTTGTGTTTTGGTATTATATCAGAATTGGGATTTGTTTAATAATCACTCAAAAGTTGCTTTCAGTGTTGTTATTTTAAAAATAAATTTAAAACCTTGATATTCCACAGTGATGTCACTCTGTTAACAGATGCCTCTTCAAGTAATACATGCATGACCTTAAGAGTTTGGCAGCGAACTGTTGAATTGGCACTGGAGGGCTCTTGAAACAGAGTTGAAAGTATTTAAAAACTTCTGAGAAGTGTTTTCCTTCCAGGTGCAGTTTTAGGTTAACTTAGTTTGGAAGGTGAAATGGGCATTCCAGCTCTTCCATATCTGTTTGTGAAACAAAACAACAGTTGGCAACAACACTTACTGCCTCTGAAACCTGGCAGGATGATCTCATCATGAGAGATGGTCTATTTGTTAAATTCAGATAGCTTTTAAATTTACGTAATGTTTATTAAGGCAATGCTGAAATTTAAAGAATAGACTGCTTTAAATGTTTGGATTTCGTGTATTATCAGTTGATATCATTTTCCGCCCTGATACAGCTCCAGAGAAGTGATTTAAAAAAGCGAATACAGTAAAAAAGACACTATGATCTATTATAAGAAAAAATATATTAGGCTGTTTGTATGTATACAATCTGCCCATGTGTGTAAGAGATGAATCTGGCCCTCAGGAGAAGTGGAGAGTCATTGAAATACTAGATGACAATTACTTTAAACTAATGATCTCTGCTTGTTGAGCTGGATGTGCCATGCATGGTTATGTGGTAGGTGGCCTTAGGGATGGTCAGAGGGATCTGGGTTAGCTGCAGGTGTGCAGAACAGCTCTTTATGAACGTGCTGCAAAGCTACTGAATATTAGTACTGACTTTCCTGCTTGTGCTGTGAGTTGTAGAAGTATTTTTATCATCAGAATCTTTTCCTCTGCTGGTTTGTTAAGCTGACCTGGACTTCTCGATAGGTGCAATAGAAGATCAGCTTCCTTAAGATGCAGCACCTTAAAAGGTGGTTCGGTTATAGGAGTCATCCTTGGTCTTCATTAAAGTCACTCTTTCCCCTTAGTTTTCTTAAGGGAATGGATACAGTCTATCACTGTCCCCTCATCAGTTATTTAAAAATGTTGGTTAAGATTTGATCCATTGGCTAGCAGCTTGGGCAATCCTTGCAACTGCTGCCTTTTCTGAAATCCCCCCAATATAGGCAGTCCCTCAGTTTTGCCTGCCGCTGTTATAGCTGCACTTGACGTTTCATCAGAAATCACTTTAAACTTGTCAGACCCAGCTTGTCCCTGAACTGGCTGGGTGCCTCCTCCCTGCCGCAGCCCTGCTCTGCTTGGGGAAAAGTGCTCAAGGGAGAAGGGAAAAGGGTGCTGCAGACTCTCTGTGGTGGCTTTCCTTGGGAGATCCTGCTGCCTCTGATTTAAGCTGTGGCTGTTCTTTGGATTAGTTTGGGCTGTTTTGCTAAATAAAAGCAGATTTTCATAGAATCCTTTCTTCAATTTCACCTCCTCATTTCTTTATTAAAATTAATGTATTCCTCTGGCTAGTTTGTAATGGGGAGATAAAGAGATGAGAAGTCACTGGATGGATATAAAACACTGAATTCAGAATATGCTTTCTGGGGCTTTTACTGTTTTAAGGAGTTTGGGAGCAGGGAAACATGCCCTAAAGTCTTTGATGTTAAAGATGGTTTTCTCTATCTTAATATCACCCTGTTGTTACAGGGAGGGTTTGTCACTCATTTGCAGGGGAGGTCTCAGTGCATGTTGGTCTCTTCTGCTTCGTTTACTAAGAAAATGAACTCTGAAGGGCTTCTGCATCTTTTGTGCCTTTAGTAAGACTCTAAAGAGTGCCTGCCTTCCCTGATCTTATAGGGCTGCAGACATCGTACAAGTATTTGTCTAATTCCACATATTGCTGCATCCAGACCATTGTGGATCAGCATGGTGCATATGAGCTAACACAGCATTTTAGCTGAGGAAAGGGCTTGGTATGGATTTTATAAAAGGCTGTGGGACAGGGCAGAAAACCTTCTTGATCCTTTTAGAGCAAGCTCACAGTGGCAATACAGCAAGTCAGTTGGCCGTGGAAAGTAGCAAGAACTAACAAAGGCTTTTTGTTTCTTCTTAGCCCTTAATGTAGTAATGTCTTTTGCTCCAAAGATGCTATCTGGCTTGGCATCTTTCAAATCTGATGCAAACATTGAAGGGGAAGATAGAAATTCCCAACTGGAGGCTGTTCTAGTTTTCTTAAGTTGTGTAAATGTGCTAAAACTTAAAATTCCTGTTTGATTTATTTGTCTGTAGAGTCAGCTGAGCTCTGTATGTACATGGTACAAGTACATGTGTGAGTAGAAGTGGTGGATAAAAAGCAAAGAAAGAGCAGCCACTTGCTGCTCTGAGAGAAACGGCCGGGGCTGTTGCTGCAATCAGAAACTTCAGGCCAAAGTCCAGCATATTTTCATAAGGCAGAGAGAAAACAATAGAGCCACAAAAAAATAGGAAAACTCCTTGCAGAAGAGGAATTTATACTAAGCGAGTGAGAGTGCAAAGATTTGAGAGATAACTAGAGGGAGGAAGAGTGACGATGAGAGGTGGTGGAAAGAGAATTTTCTTAATGGAAGTTGTCTTTCAGAGAGTCAGGACCTAAGCCAGCTAAAATAAACTCATGATATTATTCATAAATAAGATCTTTTTGGATCCATGTTCTTTCCTGTACATCTCAGTAGGGATTTAATCTAAGCTGTCTTTTGTTACTTTTCTGAAGTGGTAGTGTATTAAATAATTTCCTCATTGTCAAACACCTGTTAACTTTTTTTTTTTTAGTTACAAGTTGCATTATATTAAAAGCTACTCAGTAGGTATACCTTGGGGGGATCCTGCTTGGGTTGTTGATGCAGAGTGTTCTTCTTTAGTGACTTTCCTGCAACTGAAACAAACAACAGGGGTTTTTTTCTGCTACAGGGTCTACTTATGTCTGTTTTAATGTGCTGAACTTGGAAACGCTATACTACTGATGTTGATATCAGGTTCACAAATAAAAGGTTAAAAAAAAAACCAAAACAAACTCTGCCAGGTTAATCCTCACTCTTGTGTAGGAGGGATTGAGGTGAAGGAGAACTCTGATCAGTAGAAAGCAGTAGCTTAACTGGGTGAGTGCCAAAAGAAAATACTCTTCTAAAGTATTGCATTACCACTACAGAACAAAAAGGTCTCTTGAAAAGTAGAGGTGTTGCCACAAGCATGGTGAAATTTACCACTAGGAGTAGTGTTAATAGAATGTTGTGGTCAAAACCTGACAGTCTCTTTTTTTTCTTTTTTTCCTCTTTTATTCTAGTTGAATGGATCGCTGCAGTCTCCTTAGCTGCTGGAGCAGCTGCTGTTGGGTACCTAGCTTACAAAAAATTTCTCTGTAAAGACAAATGCTGCAAAGCAATGGTGAATCTCCATATCCAGAAGGATAACCCCAAGGTAGTCCATGCATTTGATATGGAAGATCTGGGTGACAAGGCTGTGTACTGTCGTTGTTGGCGATCTAAGAAGGTAAGAATAAATGGTCCAGTTTCATTCATGTGCATGCATCTTTCAATAAAAGCATTTTCAAACTGCTTTATTTAGAGGAAACTAACTTCTTTTCACGTAAACTATTCTGCAGTGAGATGTAGTGGTATTTTAATCCATAAAACTATGTAGATTTATGCTGTTACTAAGAGTAAAGCCTGCAGATCAGTGCTAGTAGTGAGCAAAATATTTCTGTAGCTCTGAAGAAGCTGATCTTTTGAAAGGAGGGCTGCTGTATGGAGCAGTCACAGTCATGAATGATAGGTACCATTTTGTGTGCTGCCCGTGCTAACACTGAGGTTTATCCAAAACTGCTGGCCTGTTGGCAGGTGAAGGATAGCTCAGGTACCACGTCTGAGAGGACCTTAAACACCTTTTACTGGAGGAAGTTGGAAGCTTACTCTGTCAGTCAGAAAGTACCTTTCTACTAGTTCATGGTGTTAATAACACAAATCCATTAAGAAGACTTTTGGTATACCAGAGCTGGTGTCAAATTGCCACTTGCAGTATCTGAGCCCGTCATTAAATCTTGTAGACAGGGTGAGTGCGGAATTGTTTCGGGAAGAGCCTGACTTGCGCAGATAGTGTTAGGGTCCTACTGGTCTTCTATCCTGGATTTATTGTTGTAGTTCTGCTGTGTACTGTAGATAGCTACCTTTTGCCATATGAATGAGTACAGCGGTGAATTGTTTCCAGTGGCGATGGAGGTAATCTAAAAAGAAGCCATTGTAGTTAAAAGCTTTTGAAGAATTTAGACAGGTGAACTTAATGCACTTGTGCCTTAACAACTCAAGATAGTTATATGGGCAATCCTAAAGTAAAGCCGGTGAAATCATGATGGCATACTTTAAGCCTGTATTTTTGAGCAATTAAAAGTCTGGGCTATACACTGGTCCAACTTACTTGCATAATTGGATTGCCTCAATTGCCTAATATTAGTAGTAAGCATGATACCTAGCCTTTCAATAACATTAAGATAAGATCTAAATTTGAGGTAGACATGCATGACATTTGATGTAGCTAAGATCTGTGTAATTCATCTGTAGTGGTAGTTCTGGGATCTGTAATGAGAGAAAGTGGATTGCATGAGTAGTCCGGCGCATTTACCATTGGCATGTGTTTAAAAGCTTTTGTAGAAGTCGGGGTGCTAATGTGTGGAGACTGAAATAACACAAACCTTCAAAGCCAGATAACTGAGGCCAACAGCCTTGAAATCTATCTCTCTCTGCATCAGTGAACTGAATAATAGACTTCTCAAGCCTTAGACACTGGTCTAATCAGGCCACACTCTGCAGTTTTCCAAGTACTGTAACTTTTGGTTCTTCCTGTGGTCAGATCTGACTTCGTTACCTTGTGGGTGAAAATAACTCAGTAAGTTACACATTTGTAGCTGTATTTGGTTTAAGACTAAAACACTACTGAGGATTAAACAGCATCATGACTTGATTCTGAAATAGTCTTGTGGAGATGGGCCTGTCTTCTTTGCTCTGTCTGGAGTCTGAACTGAAAAACAAAATCCGCCATTTGTCCTGTCCCCCCCCGGCTAGAGTGTGCTCCATGGACTAAGTTACATATTGTATGATTATAGAACAGGGAAGTGTGTACATGTACATGCAGTGCTGGTGGCTGTACAGCATGCAGGTATCACACATGTATAGCAGCATTGCTGCTAAATCTTTGTGGTAAGTCTCAACTGACAGCCAGAATCCAGCACTGGAAGTTGCCATGAAGGCTACAGCTTCAGAAAAGAAAAAGGGGGAGGAGAAAGGCTGCTCTAAGTATCTGCGCTTTGTTTTAATATCTGAATTTGGGTTTACCTCAGGTTGAAATAGTGTAGGCACCTCCTTCAGTGCTTCTGCAAAAAAAACCCCAACAACCCAACTTGAGTCTTGGTGTTCGTACTTTCTGCTTCCTACTCTGTTTTCTAAACAGAAATGGAAGATAGTGTCTGGTTTTAGTGATTGCATTGCAGCTCCTGCCAATATTCAAGCTATTGTTTGATAATATTTTTTTGTGTGTGTGAAATAAAAATCTTATGAAGTATGTTTTGGCACATCAACGGTGTGTTGTCAGTTTAGGAACATACTGTCCTACTGAGTTAGGTCTCTGTAATCACACACTGAAAGGAAGTAGATGGGGCTACCATTATAATAAGTCTGTTCTTAGAACTCTGATCTGAAAGGTCTTGTAAAGGCATTAAGGAGGTCAGTGGAAAATTTTGAAGGCATTTGTTTTCTTCTACTGATGCTTAATACTGAGTATTTTAATCAGCATGTTCTGCTTCAAAGACTGCAGTTTCCAATTTTGCTGCCTTCCTCTTGCCCTGATCGGTTGACCTTGTATGGTGGGTAGCATGATCTTTAAGATGGTGTGCGTGCTTCTTCTCATGTTCAGTTATTGCCAAGCAGTAATAAAATAGAGACATTCTTTATCATTGTCATGTGCTTGTCATCTTTGGAAGTAGTTAAATAGCATTATCTGTTTCTTACAGTTCTCAGACTTAAGATCCTGTTAAAATTTGTGAGATAATGTTTATATGATGTCAAAATGGTAGAATGTGTGTGCTTCCATTGCAGGGGATTACAGAAAATAAGCAATAAGTACCTGCTGTGTTTTTGTTAAGTGGCATATGGGGATCTCTATTCCATATACAGGTTAGAAGAAATGTCCTCTTGTATGACTGCGTGAGCACTTCTCATCAGGTTTAGCCTCATCTGAGGCACGAGGCTGTTAATAGAACCAGTAGCGTTATGAACTATAGGATACTTCTGTGTGCACTGACGGTGTGCATGCACTACAGCTGGCTTCACATGGTATTCCTCCTGTATGGGGAATAACAAAACAGTTGGACTATACCAGGGTGTTTTGGAGTAACTTAAAAAATGAGCAGGATTATTTTCAGTTGGGTGTTTTTTTTCTGAACTACTATACTTCAGAAGTGTTTTTTTTATTTGTGCTGGCCAAAGTCTTCGTGGAGTGCATGTGTTTAAAAAAAACCAAACGTGGTATCTTCGAGTAATTCTGTCTTGGGTTGTAATTATCTGTTAAAGTAGGTGGTAGGTCTTTAAATGGCCCTTTTCTATTCCATGTTCTGCTCTGCAGGCACTTCATTAGCACTGCTTGTCAAGTTTTGTGGAAAAACATAGTATTCAAACCCAGCGTTTCAAATTTACCAGTGTAGAGGCAAAAAATTTGTCTTAAAACCAAACTGTAATTAGTCTAAAGTTAGAACGTTTGTTTTTACTCTTCTGCATTTTTAAGTGTGTAAGCTGAGGGGGGATAAAATAATTTGCTTTCTTTTGCAATGACCTGCAACCTCTGTGTCTTCCAGAGAAGTATTAGTCCCCAGGCTGCAGGTCAAGGAATACTGCTGCAGAACATCAGAAGAAATAGCAGTAGTGAATCTAAACCTCTTCAGTGTCCAGGGAAATAAGCTGAGCTTACTGCACAATTCCCTCGGGGACTGAGCTTTGGCTGCTATTGCTAGCCTGCTTTATCTTAATCAAGGATGAACATGTTGTGTCAGGCCCAGGATCCATCTATTCAGTATCTGGTCTTCAAGGTGACCAAGTGGGTGCTCTGGAACAGTGTTGGGTTTTTTTCTGAGAAGCTCAAGTCTAGTGTCCCAGCCTCTGGGAGCTGGTGCTTCTGAGACCAGCTGACACAGAGGATGAATTCAGAGCAGTCAGGGTTGGTAGCTGTAAAAGATCTCTCAATTCTATCTGAAGCCTATGAATCCCACCTTTTTTGTCACTTGCAAACTTGCAGTGATGGTGTTCCTGTAGCTGGACCTTGGGCTTGCCTTCTTGGGGCATGTGAGATGTTAATGTCTGATGGAAGCTGGGTCAGTGCTTCTGTGAAGACCAGTGGGCTGTGATGTCGTGTGGAAAAACAGCTGGCCCAGGAACATCTGGGTTGGAAGCTGGTCAGTGTCCCATGAACATACGTTCTTGTTAGCTCAGATTTTTTCCAAGTATCTGTCAGTACCTACTCATTGAGTCACAAATGACTGATGTGATGATAAAGTTCCTGCATGAATCAGCTTGCATGAGTATTCTCTGAATTCAGGGTTTCTTTATTAGAAACGTCACCTGCCATTTATAGCGTGGGTTTTGACATTTTGTAACTGTGAAAAACAAAAAAAACCCCTCACCTCACCTCTCTTCCTGCCCCCCCCTCCCCCCCCCGCCCCGGGCATGTGGCTTTATTTTTAGAGCTCTGGGAAATATTTTTGCAAGTATATTGTCTTCATTATATTGTTTTCATGCAGTACTTTGAAATCTTCTATTCTAACTAAGCATGGGTGATAGGGTGTTAATTTTTTTCAGGGGCTCTGATTGAGGCATGATCGGTGGAGTGTCAAAGACTGACTGATTGTGACTGTACTGCGAGGGAATATTGCTGTTGCAAAGGCAAAAGCTGAGTGATGCCCAACTTTGATTCCCATTACTTCTAAGCAAACAAAATAGTAACTGAAGGCAAAATACTGGTGTGTGATTTCTGTGATCATCTCCAGGGTCTCCTCTGTAGAGGAGGCATAGCCCTGGAAAACACATCCTTGAGAAGTGATGGCATCTAACCTCACTCTTGTTGCTTCCCAGGATGTCCTTTGGCTCTTGTATGTGAAAAGAGCTGCCCAGGAGCAGAGTGGCTGTCACTGGTCTGGGACCTGGGCACTTAGAGCTGGCTAAAGAAGTCCCTGTGGGTCTTGCTCTGAGCAGGCTTTTCTAGAGGGTTTTTTATGGAACAAACATTTCTTCAAATTACTTCCTCAGTGCTGCCCTTAAGAGCCTTTGATGAATAGCCATGTCAGTTGGAAATGGAGTTTATTTCCATTAGCAGGTCAAAATCCTAATGTGGAAGCCAGATTGTGCAAAGGGACCTTTGTGTCGATGAGATAAGATAGATGTGTCAGGACGAAGCAAAGGCAGCTTGCCACTCTAGCTGTCTGGAGGCAGGACTAATACGTAGGTGTGTCTCTTAAATAAGAGATGAGCTAGGGAAACTGTCCCTTTTCTCATCACATGCTATGGAAAACCAGGAAGAAAACTCAGCTAAGGATCTCCTGTTTCTCTTCCTAACCCCACTTACCTTATGTAACTGCACTCAACTCTGGCTGTTGCCTGGGAAAACAGAGTGTGGGGCAAGGTTGAGAGCAAGGTACTCCAGGTAGGTTACAATTGAAGGTCAGCTCAGGCTGCATTTTCCTCATGCTGCCCTGAGGCAGGAACACCAAATACAGTGGAGTCGAGTTGCTGCTTTTTGATCACAAACCTCTCATCCACTCTGCACTCACATGGACAAAACTAGTGTTCAGCCCAAACTCAGGGAGACCTGAGATGCAAGCACAAAAGCTGTCATCTGTGGTTATGGTGGATTTAGTGAGAAGGCATTGTAATGAACTTTCAACCTAGGTTCTTAATTCTGACTCTGAATGTACTTTAGCTGTGTTTATTCTTTCTTTTTTCAGTTCCCGCTGTGTGATGGCTCTCACACAAAGCACAACGAGGAAACTGGCGACAACGTTGGGCCTCTGATCATCAAGAGGAAGGAGGCGTAGAGGGGACAGTAGAAGCTACAAAATGAATGTCTGACAAATCCTCTGCTCACTTGTAATTGGGGGAAAAACCACAAATTCTTTGTCATGTCACTGAAGACTTTCCAGTGTAGTATGGCTTCAGCATGTGTACTTTCTCTGGTGCTTGTCTTGTTTTAATCACTACAATACATAATTTACTAAATAGTCATGGTTTAAATTTTTTGTCCTGTAAAGTGGTGTGTGTCCTCTCATTGAGTATGAAACTAAAATGACGCACAGAATGTACTTCATCAGAAAATAGGTATTAAATTATTTTCAAATACATGTGTACTACTCTGAGGCCATGCAGTAGAACGTGTGTTCAAAAGGTAGATCCTGAAATCCTGGAGAGGTTCTAAAGTCACAGGTCTGGATAGTTTTCTATGTAAAAGGCAGCGGCAGGAAAGAAATCATGGTGTGAAAATGCAGCTTAACCTCTGATTATGCTGCATTTTCTGCAGGTGACACATTTGGCCTATTATACTACTGTTCTGTGTGGCTTCTGTAAAAAAAATGAATTCAAAATTGCTAACTATGAACAGACAACATGAAAAGGCATATAGCAAGATGGGGCTAAAGGCCACCTTTACCTTTGATTTTACAGCAGTGTTGAAACTTGACCCTACTACTATATGTTATCAAGAATATACTACTGGAACCGCAGACCTGTATTTAGAGTGGGATTAGGAAGATGGTCTCTGGGAGAGCTTTCTTAATAGACAAGTGGAATGATATGAAGTGCTCAAAGAGTGATGGGCAGGGGGTGGCAGTGTTGTCTTTGCTGCTAGAAAGCCTTAGTTTCACTTGCAGTCTCTAGCAGTGAAGCTTAGTTCCCCAGACCATAGGACACTTCTGTGGGGGAGGCTATGTCAATTTATTCCAGAAGCTAAAATAAAAACTAAAACCCCACCCATCATTACTGTCTGCTTCATCATTGCTCTGGCTGGTTCCGGAGGCCTCTTCCCACTGTGGAGGGACGAGGCACACCTTTCTTACTAAGTGGCCTTAGGCTCTATGTGTCTTAAATAACTCCTGCCTCCCTGAGCTAACTGTTAATGTGGTTCAGCTAATTTTACCAAAAGAACTGACATGGACAAGGAAAGGCTTTGGCGACAGCTAGAAACAAGGGGGAAAGGAAGGATGAGACAAGGAGAGCTCTTACCCTCCTTTTGTATGGCACTTGTCTGCCTCATCTGACGCAGTTGCATTAATGATTATCATGTTGGTTTCCTTAAATTAAATAGCTTTGATTTATTAACATGCAAATGACTACAAAGCAAAACCCAAAGAGTGAGGTGGCAGAGGTTGGTTTTGTATTAAATCCAGTCCATTAGCATAATTGCAGCCTGTGTAGGATTGAGCTCTCATGTCCTGGGACAGAGAGACTACCTCAGAGCTAGAAGAAAGGCCTTTTCAAGAAGCTGACATTTTAACCTGGACCCTTAAGGATTCTTCCAGATGATTGGGGCAGTAGAGGTTTTATTTAATTTTTTTTTTAAGGTTGTGGTTGGTACGACAGGTTAAGATTGAAGAAAATGTTTTGCATATTCTCAATGTGAGACTTTCAGAACTTGAGGTCTTAGCTGAGTGGTCTGAACTTTGGCAGAAGGCACAAAAAGTAGAGAAGGTGGCACAGAGGCAGAGAATGAGGGTTTGCAGGTGGAGTGCTATAGTAGGGGCAACTACTGTCTGTGAGAGACCTCTGCTTGTAAGAAGTTGCAGTCAAATACGTTTAGTTTCTATCTTCCTGTCTTGACTGTAAAGGTACTTGATATTTTTTACTTGGCCAAGTACTGATGCATATGGAAGGTTGTTTTAACCTTGAATTATCAAATACATTGCTTTTATCCAAAACAAAGTTATTTGTGTTATTAGAATATGACACTGGATATTTCTGTATTTTTGTCAAATACACATTTGAGCTCATCTTAATCTTGAGGTTTTAATGTCTGTGTTACTCACGAGTGTGCTGTTTCTTTCAAGGGAGAGTTACAGTGTGAGTTGTGCTGTACGCCAATGCTGCTGTAATCATAACCCTGTTTCTGGGTTGGGGTTTCCTTCCGGGATTTCTTTTCCTGTTAGCAGCAAAGCCTGGCTGCTCTTGAAGGAATAAAAGTTCACTGAAAACTGCATTAATGTTCTGAGAGATGAAGTCCTGAAGTTTCGGATGAGTCTCCTGAGTCATAAAACTATTTCCTGGAGTTTGCCAATAAAACATTTCTTGGAGTTTGCGTGTCAGGGACGTGGCTCCATGAGAAGTTTTTGTTTCTGGGAAGCAAAGATGCAGAAGCAGAGTCTTTGTCGATTTACATCCTGGTGAGTTTGTTTTGGAGAATTGTCACATTCAAAAGAATGTTGACACAAAGTGGTTAAATCTTACTTTGATGTACGTACAATTTTCTGTGCTGTACCTGAAAGTTCCTGTTACTCATGTTTGTGAGCTGTTTGAACATGACAATGAAGAGATACTTGAATGTGAGTCAACAAATTTGCCAGCAGTTTTGATGAGCATCACAGAGAACCCTTCCTTTTTTTTTTTTTCCTTAGTACCATAATAGGTTATCATGTTCTGATGGTCTGAGTGCTTGCCTGCTCCAGTGTTTTCTGATCTCTGTTCTTCAGTGCTTTCCTCAAATAATCTCTAGAATATGAAGTGGATTGGTTAGATGTTTACGAAGTTTTAACCATAAAGAAATTCTTCTGCAGATGTGCTATTTTCACCTCACTTTGAAACTCGTACGTGAAAATGTGGTACAAATCCTTCATACTAAAGCAGTGAAGGATTCCTGTCCCAGAGTAAAACTGGATTTCTGTTCTACATTGTTATTTTTCAACATATAACTGCTCATCAAGAATGTGAACAAAGTACTGATTCTGCAGTAATCGAGTGTGACTTATCAAAATAGTCTGAATGTCAAATATTCAGGTGCTTCTAGGGTCAGCATTCTTGAAGAGGAGATGGCTCTAAGTTACAGGTATTTTCTGGATGTTTAATTCAAGCACCGTTAATCTCATGGATAATTTCAAATGGTTGAGGCCAGCATTGCAATAACACACTGGTCCACTAGGGGGAAACAAATGCTGTGCAATTGATGCTCCTTGACGTGGGCAATACTGTTTTGAAGGGGTTTTTTATGCATGCATGTATTTATGGGTTGGGTTGGGGGTTTTTTTCAGCAGCATTGCTTTCTGTCTGAGCCCAGGCATCTAGAAGTGCTGCATAATGGTGTTTGGGACTAAACAGCTTTTCATGCATGGAGGCTCGTGTACTTTGAATCTAGCAGTTGTATCACCAGTTCCCTGACAGCCAGCTGCAGAGCTGACCGCAGGCCCTACTAAAATTTTCACCATATTGTTGCAGTTTGGACCTTGTTCTGGTGCTATTGGGGTCTGTAAAATTTTTTTTGCACAGTCACATAGCAGTTGGACTGGGATTTTCTTTTCAGTGTAATACAGCTAGATAAAGATATGGAAACGTGACTCACTGCTGTATCACAGTCGCTCATTCCAATAACGGAAGAACATTTTATAATAGCAGGAAGGATAGGAACGTAGGCGTGAAACTAAACATTGGTGTTGCAAAGAGACCTTCTTGTCAGCTGGCTTCTCTTTAGCCATCCTGAACATGGACGTCTCTTACTAAATTTGGCTTTTGTTTCAATTCCTGAAGCTTCAAGGCTAACAAAACCCACCCAGTGCCCTGGCTGGATTAGGCAGAAGAGCACATCTCCCCATAGTGCAGGGGCAGAGAGGGGATGCCCTGACCCAGCTGTCAGCAGGCTGAGTTAATCAGTGCTCAGCATCTCTATTTCAGCCTGGTCAGAACATTTCACGTGGACCTGCTGAGAAGACCAAATGCCTTTTCCATTGTCACTGGTACACATTAAGCCTAACAGTGTCAGATACCTGTTTCCCCAGTTGCTTTCTGCACCCAGGCTTGTTCTGCCCTGGGTTTCCTGCATTGATGAGTGACTCCTGTGCGCTGGCAGCAGAATCATCATTTTCCTAGAGCCATCATTAATTTAGGATGGGTACCAGGGGCTGCTGGTGGAAGCTTTCTGCTGCTTCTTTTCTACTGTAGCAGTGTTGTAGCTGTGCTGCCTGCGGAGCATGGTGTGTTTCTTGGGCAGGATGATTTCCAGGCTGGCTAATGCAGAGAGGAGCTGAATAAAAACTAAATAACATAAAAATAAATGAATGTGTGGAGAGAAACAAGAAAGGGAAAAAGAAGAAAAAAAGTGGCAGATGGGAGGAGAGCATAAGCTAGAAGAGAAGATTTAACACCATGTGACATTGCTAGGTGGTAGCAAAAAGGGATAAATCAAATTACAGAAAATGATGTGTTGCGTTTCTTTATACCTCTTCATAGAGCGAAACATAAGATGTACAAAGTGGCTGTTCATTAGCTTCTGGGACTAAGCGGTTCTATTAGCCAAAAACTTACTCCTTAGAGCTGAAAGGGTTATGTGCCTTGAGCAGACATCTGTTACTGTGGTTTTAAGTCCTGAACTGTTTGTGAAATCCTGCAGTACTGGACAGAAAGCAACATACGCTCATGCCGTGGGCCCCTGTTAGCAGTCTGATGTTCCTCCACGCCCACCTTTGTAAAGTGTTTAATTAGATGTGCAATTATAATAAATACAAGGAGTATTTACCCGTATGCTCCCTGAAGTCAGTAAAATCACAGTGGGTTTACGTGACTGTAGCAAAGCAGAGTTCAGTCCACCTTTCTCATGTGCAGTTTGGACTGGTAAGAAAGGATTTATCAGGGTTCTCAAGCAACTTCAGTTTTCTTCCATGCATAGAAGTTGCATACATCTCACATAAACACAGAGAGATCATTTCTCTTGTTATTTTTTTCCTAGCCGAAGACTGAACCATCTCTCCTCTCTGATTTGACATTGCGCTGCCCTTAATCTGCTCTGCTCTGCATCCTTTTTGTCATGCAGACTGCAGTTTTCTTTTGGCTTTTTTGAATGCATGGCACATTTATACAAAAAAAGTGCCTTCTGCTGTCCAAGAGAAGCCTGTGCAGAAAAGAAGAGTGCCTAAGTGTGCCAGAAATTATAGCTTTAATGTGTGAAGCATTCAAAATTCAGCACACTGCAAGGATCTTCTCAGTAGCTGGAATGTTTGTGCCGTTCAGTCCAGTCAGCTG